TGCTTGAATTCTTAAACTTGTAGCTTTATAGAGAATTTTATGGCGTTTGTACCACGGATTTTCTCTAGCTTCTTGTTTAGAATTTTCTGTGTCTTCTTTCTGAATTATGAAGACCCCTATTTATAGTTTCAGAATAGAGGAGTTGTGATTGGAACAGGATTCCCTTCGGCCAATCAGATTTAAGTGACATGACATATGGGCTTTATGGAGCGGGCTTGTCATCTTTGACACATGTCATGATCCTATTCGCTTCCTGTTTGACTTGGCATGCCATGTCATTTGCCACGTGGCACCAAAAGAATGGGCCTCTAGGATAAGATGACATTGGACTTAGTAAATTGGGCTCATCTATAGCCCAAATCAATTAATTTTGACTTTAATTAAATTCATATTTATTGGACTTGAATAATTAGCCCAATTATATTAATCCATAATATTTATTTGGACTAATATATTCATGAATTTAATATAATTCGAATCATTTTATATATTTATATTTAATAAATTTTAAATGATTACAGTTATAAAATTGGCAAGACAACGAGATGAGAATTGTCAATAATTTAAACACTTTGAGCAGGTCTCCCCCATGACAGACTTAACTTGAGTGAATGAGTGACGTTTGATGAAAGAATATTATTTTATATTTTTTTAGAGTTGAATTTCAAAAAATTATATTTAATCATAAATTTTGATATTTTACTTGAATTTGAAAAATATAAATAATTTATTTACACTTAAAAATCATTCGGAAAAAAATTAAAAGTAACTTTAATTTTTATTTATTGCTAAACACAATTTTAATTTTTAAATAATTGTTTGCAATAAAATTTTAATGTGATAAAAAATAAATTATAATCACTAATAAAATATTTAAAAAAAACGTGGGTACAATACTATTCTTCCCTTTATAGGATCTGTCACATCACGATCATTATGAATATTTCACATAATATAAACAAGAGCTAGGGTTTAGAGTAAAGTAGCCTCCAAAATCCTAACTGAAATTGAACTCATCTTGTAAAGTCCTACAAAGTTTCGATATCTACAAATACCCCCTAATTTAAGGCTTGTTGGAGTGTAAGACTTGATAAACTCAAAGACAAGACTTGAAGCGCTCATAAAAATGAAGCTCCATCTTTGAAAATTTAGGGCTTCGAATTTATGAATCTGATTTGTGAGATAAGAGATAAGAGATGAAGGGCAAATTTGATCCGCGTGCTAAATAGCTTGCAACAAATTTTAATGTAAAAAAAATAATAAACAAATTCATGTACTTATGAAATTCTTGAGATACCTTTTCAAAGGAATATATTATTTTTTTATATATGCATGAGTCAGAGTTTAGGATAGAGTAGCCTCCGAGAACCCTAATTCTTTTTTTAACTTCAAAAATAAAAACTACTCTACTATTTTCAAATGTCACAATTTTCATGGCCGTCATGACCATGTGTTTGACCATAGATTTTGTAGAAAATATTTTACTTTAAAAAAAAATGATTTATATCCAAAAGTTCTAAAAACTATTAAAGCTATTCATAAGTTTGTATTATCATTTTATAATAAACATGTTTCGTGAAAAGTCATGACAAAGAACACAATTAATATGAATCTATAAAAGAGGAACAATTGATTTGTATACGAAAAACTATTATTACTACTTGTAATTGGAAGTGACTTCGGAGATAAAGTTCGGATAAAATCGATATAAAATATGTATATAAATGTAAAAAATTTGTACAACGAACTAGAACTTAAATTCAATTCAAAAGTATAAATAATGGGTGTTTTTATAAAATATAAAAAATTGGGATATTTTTTCAAAGTTCCCAAATAATAGAATTTGACTCAAATACTTATTTTTTTTAGTATTCCAGAATTTGAATTGTTTGCCAAAAATATTTGTCAATTAATAATAAGTTCTACGCGAAAATAATATTTGCTAAAAAATTCAAAATATTTTTGAAAATATCTATGATGCATAAATTACTTCAACAATTTGAAGGACGAAGAGGCAACTAGTACTCTGATAAATGAAACCAAAAAATTCATCACTGATAGTTACTTTGCCACACTAATACTATTTTATTAGGACTCCATTTAACAAAAGAAAACATGTTAAAATTAAGGTATCAAAAATGCATGTTAACATTTTTATCTGAGTAAAGTCACAACATACTTCAAAAAAATATATGTAGAGGTCTAAACATATAAAAATACTTTATTGGCTAAATTAATTAGTAATAATTGCATCACTCAAAATGCAGTACAACATATCATCAAGATTCAGGTAAGAGTCTATAATCACATTCTTTATCTTCTGTCACATGAGGTGACCTACTGCTCCCATTATTGCTAGGTTCATATAACCAGCAGATGACCAGAAAATATAACAAGTTGAGTAAGTTCAAAAGTGTAAGTAGCCAGAAATAATAATCCAGGTGACCCCTATTAATGTTGCTCGAAAGCCAGCTTGTTTTACCTCCGGTTGATGAAAGCCAATCCACACCACTCACCAGAATACTACCAATCAAACTCGACACAGCAGTCCCAACTGTGTACATAGCTGACCAATCAAACTGGACACAGCAGTCCCAACTGTGTACATAGCTGACGCGATGCTGGACATGCTTTTGGGTAATAGAGCATACAAGAACTCAATCTGTCCAACTCCATGGGCAGCCTCAGCCACTCCGAGTAGTGCATACTGTGGCACAAACCACATAGCAGACATTTTCACTAAAGCATTTGGGTCGTCCTCATGTCCTTCCTCTATTGCCCTTTGTCGTCTTATGCTTTCTGTTATTGCTGACAATGCTATAGACATACAGGAGGCTATTAAACCAATCCCCATTCTGGTGACAGGACTTAGCCCTCTAGGCTGTCCAGTATATTTTGATAGAAAAGGGACCAAAACACGGTCGTAGAAAGCAATCCAGATTGTTAAAGCAATAATCAGGAACACACTGAATGATGCTGCTGGTATTTCAAAGTGAGGGAAGATGTGTCTATCCATGGTTTTTGTTTGAAGTAAGGAAAATGTGAATACATTCATGTCCACAAAGATAATAAAACCAGTGGACCACATAGGAAGTACTCTAATAATAGCCTTGAGTGATTCAACTTGTTCCAAACTAGAGAGATTCCATGGATTTGAAGCTGATCCATCAGGATTCAAATCTCTTTCAGGATCTTCAATCATACAAGCTCTATTTAAGAACCTATAACGTACAGTAAAATATTATTACAAAGAACTGCAATATCATAAAAGGGTAGTGACAACAAATTATAGATACAGTTCTCTATGATTAGCATATCGTATAATCTTCAACTCATAATTTATTGTTTCAGACAAAGTGCATAGCATTCGAGTAATATGGAGACACTGACCTTAAGTCCTTTGATGGAGTGAAGACCTCTGATTCATGTGGCCAACGATAGTATTCACCACAATCACTCAATGAAAGACGGGTATTTCTTTTCCTAAAAGCTGCTACAACTGTTTGGAACAATCCTATGACCAAGTTTTGTTTAGTTTTAGCTTTCACTTTGATATAAAGAGGAGAGCCGATTTGGAACATTAAGACAGACAAAAACATGAGGATAGCAGGGAACACCAAAGCCAACTTTCCAACCATAACTATCTTGAATATAAACAATAAGGGTAACTGCAAGAATAGTTGAAATCCCTGTGCTAACATAGTACCAATTGAAATATCTTTCAAGAATCCTCTTGTTCTTTCGATTTTCCAATTGATCAGCACCAAATATTATAGAACAAGGTCTAACAAAACCAGCTCCGACGGACATAAATCCAAAAGATGAAAACAGAACAGCAAGTTGTAGTAGTGTTGGTCCATTACAAACATGTTGGAAATGAGAGCAGGGTAAAGACTTGAGTTGGGGAATCATTGCTGTGAGCCATAGAATAATCATTCCCTGTCCAAGAAAAATGTTAAACTTTGTAGCCAAGGGACCAAATATATGGTAGCACCAAAATAATTGAATATATGAGAGAAAGCCATACAAGTGCTTGTTCAACATTCATCCTTCTGAACGATTTAGCAATTGATTAGAAGAAACAGAAAAAGGGTCATATTTGGAGCTTATACTCTCAAAAAAAGGTTATTATTAATATGTATATTTATTGCCGCTAAAAATTAATTTTGTTGTAATGATTAGAAATTATGCCAAAAATATATTCATATAGACACCACGTAAGATAATAAGGGTAGGGACATAGGAGTTGAGCGTTTAAGGCAAATATGTACTCAAAAATTGATTAATAGCGATAAATATATCAAAAAGTATGACGATGGATAAATATAAATATGACCCTTTTTGTGTAGAAGAAAATAAGAAAGCAGGGAATATATTGATCACTTCTTGTAACGGACTTCTGACACTTTGTAACCATAGTACTAATTCATTTATCCTGACACTACAGATAAATCCAAGGTTCAAATCCCACCAACTATTTTCCATAAATTTTCACAAATATTTTGGATTTTTTTCACCAACTATTTTCCATAAATTTTCACAATCAATGGCAAAGAAATAAGGAACAAAAAGTTGGAAAAAGAAAAAGAACACAAGAAAAAAATAGATGAAAAAAAAGAAAAGGGAGGGAATAAAAAGTTCGAAATATTATAGAGAGAACAATTTTTAAATATTTTAATATTTGTCCCTAATGTTTTACAAATTATAATTCAGCTTGAAATTTCAAAAATTCCTTATCCTTCACTCCACTTTTAAAAGTTCCTTTTAACTTGTTATTCGAAAGTTGCGATACTGGTGGAAGGTTGCAGGGAACCAATGTAATAGTTAAAGGGAGTCCAATTATATCATAGTAATGAGATAAGTTATGAATATATGGATAATTTAATATAACTTATTTTCAACCAAACGACTCATAACCAATGCAAAAAAAATGAAATTCAGCAATTGTGAAATGGCACACAACTCACAATAAGAGTGGAGATGGATCCAAAGGCAACAGCTCTAAATCGACCCCAGTAAGAATCAGCAATAATTGCCCCCAACAAGAGCCAATCCACTTGAAAGTGCACCCCCATAGTCCAAGAATGGTAGTACCAGTAGCAGCACTCATGTTATAATATGTCATCAAGTAGATTAGCATGTTAAATTGTAAACCATAACTTGCTACCCTTTCAAATGCTTCATTCACTGCAAATATTTGAAATAATTAGTACTTAAACCTAACGATACTCTATCTAATTTGTTGAGGTATTTATCGAATTAAATTTCAGCAAGTTTTTGTGTTTTAGCATGATTATATGTGTTCAAGCATAAATGGTATTGATTATCTATTATTCATGTAAGCAGTATGATTCTGATATATTTCCGCTGTGCATAGAGTTTTACAACACTCACCCCTTAATATAATAATGATTTAACATCTAACCTAGAAACTATTACTTATAAACTATATGAGAAAAAATCGAATGCATCTTTTGTTTTTTGTTTCTTTACCTGAAGTAATTATTTCTTCCGTTTGATTGTCGTCACATTGTAAGTAGTTTTTGCCAGGAAGTTGTTGATTTTCCATTGTCTAATTTATGACTTATAAGTATAAAACCCTACTAACTTATTTCAATACATGAGTCAAGTGATATAGGGTATTAAATTAATTATGAACTTGGCTCATTAATCACCAACTAAATAAATTAATTATTTAAAAATTAACTACAGATAGCTCAAAATTCTCAACCAACTTCACAAACTAATCAGATGTGACTCGGGTCAACTATCGAGAGGGGTAAAACAATAATTTTACAAAAAATTCCAAAAATAACCTTCCAGGTCATCACATTATCCACCACTAAAAATTATGTTTGTCCTCAAACATAAAGAACGATAAGGAAAAAATAACCAACGTTATCAAAATCCTGAGTTATGATCTTTGAGATTAGGTGTGCGTTCATATCTCCAAGTGAGTTCCTCTTTAACACCATCCATCAAGATCAACTACTAAGACCTGAACTTTCGAGTCAAACTTTGACAGATTTACAAATCAGGAGTGGTTAGCAAGCCATAGACTAACCCATGAATCCATTCTGAATCGAAACCCTCTGAACGTTAACACAACCACCAATACAAATCTTTTCCCACATAACCAATGATGAAAGGCATAGTTCTGTGACCACACCCTTTCTTGGCTTCTCTTCTACTTGTGTAATTTCTGTCCCCATTTTCACTGTGTCTCTCTGTTTTTCCTCTTCACATTGCTCTTTGCTTTAATATATGACCAAATAAAAGAGATTTTTTTTTAAAATGAACTAAAAAAATAAAGTAAGATAAATTAAAGTAAAGAGAGTAGTTCATAGTTCACAGTATAGATAAATTACTCGATTTTTTATTAAGAGTCTGATACTTTTACCAGAGATTGAGACCACTTGTTATGCCAAATGAGAAAATGCTCATTTATCTCATTGATCCTATCATAGAGTGAGCTCCATTTATTCCGTAATGACGTTCCATCCATATGCTCTCCGTTGCCTTGTGATTCCCTGACATTTCAGTAGTTGGCCTCATATTTCAGTTGCTATTGGACATTGAAAGAATAGATGTCCAACAGTTTCATTTTACCCCTTCACACAACTTACATTGTGGTTCCACATCGATCCCCTATTTGATCAATCTATTTTTCGTGTGTACCTTGTCATTAGCTACCAAGTACGTCATAAATATGATTTTGATGCTTTTAATATAGTATAAATAGATATAGATAGATAATATATTTCTTCTCAAATATCCCATTAAACTTCTGAATATTCATAAAAAAGATTAAGATATTGTTAGATTTTTCTTAACACGTAAATATTTCAAAAAGATTCGTTAAATTCTCTTTACGTGAAAACAAAAAAATTCAAAGGAAAAAAGATATATACCTACACTACTTATTAATATAATACTTTTATTTTTTCAAATTTATTTGTACTTAAATTTATTTTTCATACACTAAAATTTATTTTCAACTCTAGCATCTTTGTAAATTTCTTTGAATAAGAATATCTTAATAATATTTTTTTTTAAAATAAAGCTTGGAAAAACTGAGGGTAGTCCACAAGAGTAAACAGATGATTTTAAAAATTGTAGCCACCCATGACAACTAAATACCCTCCACAAAAAAAAATGCTCATTTTACGAAAAAATTTATTATGAATGAGGTATGCCAAGTCATACTTGTACGAGGCATTGTTTGATTGACAAATGGACATTGATAGGACCCATTTGCCATTTGCCATTTGCCATTTGCCATTTCCAAGCTAACAAAGTGACATTCTTTTAAGTTCCCTCTTTCATTTTTTTTTGTTTACGCCCCTAGTCAATCTATTTGTGTTTTTATTTTTTCAAATATTTTTTTCTTCTTTAAGATTATCTTAACCAAATCTAATTTTGTTTTTTGATCTAATTAGTTTATGTTTCTTACTTTTTATGTAGTAAATTTTGATTTAATTTTTATGATCATTATATAAGTTTTTACTTTATTATTCTAATATTATTTTTCTATTCTATGTTTAAATTCATATTATATAATAATAAATAGTTATTTGTATTTAATTTTCGGTTTATTAAATCAAGATATAAGTAAAAAAAATAATTTAAAGTATAAAAAAAATTGTAAAGTCGCAATTTTTTTTTTAAGGAATAAATTAATAAAATTATCATTTTAATTATGATTTATTAAGAAACGTATAAGGAAAACAGATAAATAAAATATTTATTAAATTTCACCTAGCTTGAATTTCAAAAATAAAAAATATCGTATAAATTGGCGGAAAGAATATGTATTTATATAGGTGTTTAATGGATGCTTTTCATTTTTTGAATTTCATGAAAATAGTATCAAAACTTTATGTAATTGTTTGTCAAGATCATTGTTGCTCTTTCCGTTATATTTACTTTTTGAAGAGTATTTGATGGATTTAAGTGCTTTTGAAATTCTGAAATTATTGAGAAGAATAAAAGAACAAATTAATTTTATACCTTCTTTGTTTTTCATATTAATAGTCTACTTTTTCTTTTACAAATTAAAAATTATAAATAAAATAATAGTTTTACTAATTTACACCTAATT